ACTGTTCTGCTTATTCTTGAAAAATAAACAGGTGAGTATGCCTCAAAATATAGACACGAGATAATGTTAAAAAGCGGTTGAGATGAGTAAGAAATTAGGGAAAAAAAAAATGTAGTCATAAATGTTTTATGATGTTATAATGTAAATTTTATGAATAATTAGAAAGGAAGAGACTCGATGGTAAATTAGAAAACAACAATAAACTTAGGTCGTCTTCCAGTAAACGGTATCGAAGGAAAGCAAAACATGCTCGAGAATAATCAAGGTACGTATGATTGGTCTACATTGGGCGTTGAAAATACTCACGTGCTTATGTGAAGCAAATTAAGTGTTATTGGGAGGGGGGGTCACACTATGTATTTTGAATGAATATTGGAGAAGGAACCAATCCGATAAGAAGGAAGTGGTCAGCCGTCGCTGCTCGCCCGTCGCCATCGCACATCAGCCGTCGCCATCGCACGCATGAGTGCCACATCAGCGTTATCCGCTTGTGCGCACCTTGTAGATCCCCTTCGCCAATTTGCCACGTAAGCATGGCAACTGCTACGCACAACGCGCCGACAGCAATGGCCACGTCAACGACGTAACTGCTACGCCAATTGGCCACGTCAGCGTCAGCGTCGCAACTGCACACCACGTAGAGAGAGAGAGAGAGAGAGAGAGAGAGAGAGAGAGAGAGAGAGAGAGAGAGAGAGAGAGAGAGAGTACCCTGGATATGACAATAACAATCACGTAGGTGTGCACAATTTTTTAATGCACAATTGCACGTCATTTCTTCATGCGCACGTACGTGATTACATCTGCTCCTGATATGGAGCAATTCACAGAAGGTTAGCATGTAAGATTGATTCGAAGACAGAGAGAGAGAGAGAGAGAGAGAGAGAGAGAGAGAGAGAGAGAGAGAGAGAGAGAGAGAGAGAGAGAGAGAGAAGCAAAGTCGATATACAATCAGCACATGAAAAAATGGAGCACAATTGTCCTTCAAGAAATCGTGCGCAATTATTATTGTTATTGTCTGATTGTCATATACAGAGAATATATATATATAGAGAGAGAATAACCTGTATATGGCAATCAGACAATAACAATAATCATTGCGCACGATTTCTTGAAGGACAATTGTGCTCCATTTTTTTATGTGCTGATTGTATATCGATTTTGCTTCTTTCCCTTTTTTTTTTCTCTCTCTCTCTCTCTCTCTCTTTTCTTTTTCCTCTCTCTCTCTCTCTCTCTACCAATCAATCAATCGGCGAATCTGTGCATCTATGAATTTGTTTTCATGTTCGCTATGTACTTAATGAAAGATGAGTGTGCGTGTGTGAGTGTGTGTGTGTGTGTGTTGTCATATTCGCTATGCACTCAAAGAAAGGTGATTGATCGACCCCCCGGCAACCAATCGATCAATCAACCAATGATTCAATCAACCAAGTCATAAATCAAAACAAGGTGATCGATCGATTGATGGATTGAGTGAATGAGTGATTGATCAACCCTCCGGATCAGGGTTACGTTTGGAAAGCATCTCGAGCGGGGTGGGGGCACAACCTTTTGATTACAAAAGGTCGAGGAGCGTCGTGATCGAGGGTCGGGAGGATCAGGGTTAGGGTCCGCCGATCTCTGAAGTACGGAAAAAAAAATAAAAAAATCAATCAATCAATCACTTAATCAACCAATCGATTAAATTAATCGATTCATTGAGTGATTAATTGATCGATTGATTGAAACATTCAAAGATTTGGGGGAATCGCAACGGAAAGTATAGGCCGGGGAAAAGAAGAAGAAGAAGAAGAAGAAGAAGAAGAAGAAGAAGAAGAAGGAGAAGAAGGAGAAGAAAAGAAAAAAAAAATCGCTTTCACCACGCGTGCGTGTGTGTGTGTGTCAATCAATCAGTTAAATTAATTGTTTCATTAAGTCTTTAATTGATCGATTGATCGATCGATTGATTGATTGAAAGATTCAAATATTCGAGGGCGTCAATCAATCAATCAATCAATCAATCAATCAATCAATCAATCAATCGATTAAATGAATTGATCAATCAATAAATCAATCAATCAATCAATCAATCAATAAATCGATTGATTGCTCGATTGATTGATTGATTATGTGTGCGGCAAAGGATCCGGCTAGAGGAACTCGTCGCTCTCCCTCTTTCGCTCTCAATCGATCAGTCAATCAATCAATCAATCAATCAATCAACTCATCAGTCGATCTATCAAGTTTGTTTGATTGATTGATTGATCGATTGATTGATTGAATGACTCGGTCATCAACCCTTCTGATCAGGGTTGCGGTCGGAAAACATCCGGAGTGGGGTGGGGGTACGACATTTTTTTATTACACAACGTTGGGATCAGTGTTGGGATCGGCGTCGGGATCCGGGTCGGGAGAAAGGGGATCGGGATCGGGAATCGGGGTAGGGAAAGAGGGGATCGGGGTCGGGAGAGAAGGGGATAGCGATCGGGGTTGCGAGAGAGGGGATCGAAATCGGCGGTTGTCATTTGATTGATTGACTGCTTCGTTGGTTAATTGATCGATCAATCAATCAATCGTTGGTTGATTGATCGATTGATTGATTGATTGAGTCAGTCATCAACCCTTCCGATCAGGGTTGTGGTTGGAAAGCATCCGAAGCGAGGTGGGGGCACGACCTTTTTCTATTATAGAAGGTCGGGATCGGCGTCGGGATCGGCGTCGGGATCGGCGTCGGGATCGGCGTCGGGATCGGGGTCGGGAGAGAGGGGATCACGATCAGGAATCGAGGTCGGGAGAGAGGGGATCGGGGTCGGGAGAGAAGGGGATCGTGATCCGGGTCGGGATAGAGGGGATCGGGATCGGCGTTGCCATTTGATTGATTGATTGATCAACGGAGGCCAGGTTCCTGGTCCACGATCCATCTACCTTCTGGTATCGCCTTGACGACCACACGTGCGCATTCCAATACGTGTGATAAATCGATTGATTCCAACACGTGCGCGATCCATCTACCTTCAGGTATCGCCTTAACGACCACACGTCTGTGCACGCAGAGGATTGGGATCAAGCTCGGGGAGGTTGGGGATCGGGGTCGGACAGGGTTTTTCAATTAAAAAAAAAAATGTAAATAAAAAAAGGAAAAAAAACGAACGAAAAAAAAACATGTGGCGGTTTGCCATGTTACTAATCAATCAATCAATCCGTCAATCAATCGTTAATTGATTGATTGGTTGATTGATCGATTGAAAGAAATAGCGGACGTGGCGAAAAAGCACGTGGGGTCTGCGAGAATAGCCTGGCGTACGTGGCACCACCACGAAGGTTGAGCACGTACATGGCACCACAACGTCTGTGCACGCAGAGGATTGGGATCAAGCTCGAGGAGGTTGGGGATCAGGGTCGGGCAGAGTTTTTCAATTACAAAAAAAAAAACGTAAGAAAAGGGAAAAAAACAAAGGAAAAAAAAAACACGTGGCAAAACCGCCACGTTACCAATCAATCAATCAATCAATCAATCCTTAATAATTGATTGATTCGTTGATTGATCGATTGAAAGAAACAGACGTGAAAAAGCGGATGTGGCGAAAAGGCGAAAAAAAAACGTGGTGGGGGAAGGGACGACCCGTCCCCCACCAATGAATCAATCAATCAATCAAGCAATCAATCAAGCAATCAGTCAATCAATCAAACAATCAATCAATCAATCACGTTTAATCAATCAATCAATCAATCAAATGCGTTTTTAAGTCGGATCATGTCGGGATCGCTCTCTCCCCCTCTTTCTCTCTCTTTCTCTCTTTCTCTCTCTCACTTTCTCGCTCTTTCTCTCTCTCTCTCTCTCTCTCTCTCTCTCTCTCTCTCTCTCTCTCAATCTCAATCTATCAGTCAATCAATCCTTAATTGATTAATTGGTCGAGTCGGGATCGCTCTCTCCCTCTCTTTCTCTCTCTTTCTCTCTTTCTCTCTCTCACT